CCAAAGACACTATGTGGGCTGGTTCCTATGGCAATGGCCTCTCTCATGATCACTCTTTCTTTCACCATTCATTAACCTGTCACTCATGCCTTCAGTGGCCATTTATTAAACACCTGCTAAACACCAAATGTTTCTCTGATGTTTTGAAGCACAGAAGGGAGAGATGATAATAGCAGGTGCAGACCTCACAGAACAGTGGATTCCACGTGAGCCTCCTGGTCAGAGTGTCCAGGGCTAGAAGGAACAAGCGGGTCTGAGGAGACACTACTCAAGGAACCTTGACGGCTGCTTCCCAAGTACAGTGCTTAGGTCAAGAAGGGCTGAGAATAAACAGAAAGGGAGATCTAGGCCAAATGAGAGCAGAAAACAGAGTTACAGAGATGCAGCGGCATGCAGTCACTCACCTTCTGAGGGCTCAAAGGAGAAGGGAAAGTCAGTGTGGTCTACCTCCCCTGGAAACATCAAATGACTTAAATCTTTCATAGCTCTGCAAATACCCACACCTCATCAAAAAGTGTGAGCAGGGAAGTCTGGGAATGTAGATAGAGGGGTGCATGAAGACCTGAGAGCCAACATCACTTCTACACACGCCAGACATGGCAGTAAAGTACTCAAGAAATGGAAGCAGAAGAGCTACATATTTAATTCAAAAATAACACAGGCTATAAAGGATTCTTTAAAAAAAAAAAAATTGCCTGATTTTGGAGTGACAAATTTTGGTGAGTAGGCAAATACATAGATGCAGAATTTGTGAATGAGATCAGCTATGTACAGATGCAAGCTCACATATTTCAAAGGCAATGACAAAAAATTAAAAAAAGTTTCCACATAAGATAGGTAAAAGATGTATTATTACACAAGAAAATTTTGTAATTTGAAAATGCAACCATTGCAACAGAAACCAGTGAACTGATGTGACGATTCAGTCTTCATGAAATATTTTTAAAGTTGGTCTTATGTAACCAGCAATTGCAATTTTAGTTGTTAATCCTAAGAATGTAAGCTTTGAGTGTATGAAGCAATACGTGCCCATTGTTATTTAAAGGAGGGAAATCTTATAGTTCTAAAGACAGAGCACTGATTAAACAACTTATGATATTCCCAAAGAACACGAAATACCATAGACATTTGAAATGATCTTAAAACATGCTTTGATACAATGTGCGCCTTCCTGGTCATGACAGCATGCCAATGACATAAATGTAACATATAAAGGCTGGTGAGATGGCTCCGTAGGTAAAGGCACTTGCCACCAAGCTTGATTCCGAGTTCTATCCCCAGGACTCACACAGTGGAGGTGAGAATTGTCGTCTGATCTCCACATGCAAACTGGGGTATAGGCATGAGCACAGACAGATACATTGATACAGACCTAAAATCTTACATAATAGAAAAATCGTGGCCACTACATTTATAAATGAGCACATGCTTTTTAAACAATATTCATAGCATGAGCCTACTTTTATGGATCCACAAATGTAGTCACCAACACATTAAGATTCCTCTAGGGTCCTGGAGAAACTGCTCCGTGGTTATGAGGGTGTGCTGCTTTTCCGGGGAACTCAACTTCAGTTCCCAGCACCGGTTTCACAGGGGTAGCTCACCACCTCTTATAACTCACATGCACACACCCACGTGCCGACACGGGGACATAATAATAATAAAAGAAAAGTGTTTTAAAGAATTTTTTTCTTTTTCTTTCCTTCCTTTTATTTTTTTTCATTTTTTTTCTTCTTTCTTATGAGATAGTCTCATGTAGCCCATGCTGTAGCTGAGAAAGACCTTGAACTCCTGACTTTCCACCATAAGCCCTTGAGCACACATCACCTACCCGGGACATGAATTCATCAATAATTCTGAAAATCCTCTTGTCTTTATTTCTATATTATTTGTCTAATTATCCATTTGAAACCCCAAATAGCATCTTACTAGGAATGCCATACAGCAGCCATGACATGACCTCTGTATTCCTAGAAAAGCACACTGGCCCTTTCTCCAGCTATCAGACTACCTGGCATTGATTGAGATAAATGGATTAATGGGTTTGATAAGGAAAATGACTTTTTATGTCTGGTTTAAGAGAAATCAATACTCTCCTATTTCCTTTCCTACCTTCAGACATAAGTCTAGTTTCCTTTAACTTTACTGTGGAATTTTAGCGTGAAAGCTGAGCCTCACATACAGTGTGGTAAATGTAGAAGAAACATATTGTCTTTTCTACCAAAGAGTTAAATAAGACAAAACTTCACTTAAAAAAAGAAAAGAAAAAAAGATTGTAAAGAAGCTGCTTGGCAAAAATGCAAATTCCTCCAGGGCCAGCAAGTCTTGAAATCAAAATATGTGCTCAAGCTTGTACTTGGTGCTCAAAGTTGCATTCTGCTTATCAAATGCATTGCTTTAAACCAGCCAATTGTGTAAGAATGTGATTGCAAGTTCTGACCATTCAAAATGAGTCAGGGGACCCTGTTGCATCAGGAATAGAAGCCCCACGGGGACCCACTGAGTATGCTTTCTTGCTTAGTCTGGCATGGCTCAGCACCCTCTGCACGAGGAAAACTTTTTGCCTTGCCGAAATATTTAGGACTGTACTGTGGTCATTTTCTTGAGACTATTGTTAGAAATGATCGTGATCACACAGGCGGGAAGGGAAAAATTCAATGGAGCAGTTCTGTTTCGGGGCAGGGAAGGAGGGAGGGGGGATGGGTTTCTGTCATTTTGCAGCTTGGTTATCTGAGAGGTTATCTGCTGACCCGTTGGAGGGGGTGTAGTAATGGGATGCCACGCAGAACTGTTCTGCAGGATGTGTGTTCTGCCATCTCATGGACTGTTAACAGGGCCGCGCCGCTAGAGTCTCTGGGAAAGAGGACTAGCGTGCATGGTGTATAATGCAGGTGAGCATGCTCGTGTGTGAAGACCAAAGGCCACCCTCTAGTGCTGCTCCTCAGGCACCATCCATCTTGGTGGTGGTCGTTTCGTTGGTTTGAGTCAGGATCTCTCATTGGCCGGGAGCTTGCAAAGCAGGCTAGACTAGCCAGCAACCCCCACAGATAGGCCTGGGTCCAAGTTCCCCAGTGCTGGAATTGCAAGTGTGGACCACCCCGACCAGCCTGGCTTTGTTATGTGGGTCCCAGGGATCAAATTCAGGTTCTCATACTTGCACAGTAAGCACTTTACTGACTGAGCTCCTGCTCTAGCCTAGGAGGTCTAGACTCTCAGGCAGATTTTGTATTCCCAAGGCTGGCCTCTCCACCAAGCTTGCTAGGCATAATCTGCCTCAATTTTATATCTAGAGTGATCCGTGTTTCTGTGCCAATATAAATCTTCTTGGGCTAAAGTTTCTGCTGGTTTGTATGACAATGAACGCTGCTTCTTCAACAAAACCTTACCAAGCTGGACTTATGGGCACTACACACAGTAGCCAAGTGTAGCAAAGAACCTTGGCCTCTCTTGCCCAAGGAACATGTGACTTGAGGGGAGCTGGTGGCGTCCCAAGGATACTCCCCACGGGAAAGCTTGCATACAGGCACTCGTCTGTGTGTGCCATCGTATGCACCCTGTCCTGAGAGACTGACGCTCAGATGGCTCAGCATTTGTCAGGTCAGAGTAAGCAATACCTGGGTCTCCCTGCCTGTCACACACACGAGGCATGTGGGTTTTTCCCCCGGACTGTCCCAGCTTAAAGGTCTATAGTCATTTCAGAGCCTGTGTATGCATCTTCTACAGGGTGCTTAAAGGCTACTATGTCTGAACCATATTGTATTAGTCACTAGTCCCAGTGCTGTGGCACAAAAGCAGCTTAAGGAAGCAAGGGTTTATTTAGACTTCGAGTTAGAGAAGGGATATAGTTCACTGTGATGAGGTACAGCAGGACCATGAGGTGGCCTGTCACAGGAAATCCCCAGTCAGGAAGCAAAGAGAGAACAGGAAGTGAGTATCCCCCTCTCCCACCCCTGCCCCATCTTCTCCAGCAAACCTCCGCCTCCTAAGTACTCCACAACATCCCAAAACACAGCCAGGATACAAATGTTGAAACACATAAGCCTGCGTGGGACGTTTCACATTTAAACCACACCACATACAAATTTTGTGCAGAGACCTGCAAACTGTGGAATTAATAAGGCAACTGGGCGGGGAGGTGCTACAAGGCCCTCGTATACGTTGCTGAGGAAAACATTTACATAAAGAAGCTAACATATGCCGAGCATGTAAGATGCAGGTCCTCCTTACGCACAGGACTCAGAGGAACTTGGTGAATACACACAACTGCAGGTGAGGCAGACCAGATCGCCTCCCTGCTGCCCGTCAGTCCCAAGCTCATGGGTGCTCATCTTGCAGTCCAACATCTCGGAGCAGTTTTATCAATGAACGCACCATGGGATGACTCTCACAGGTTTGCATAAAGATTAAATGACATAGGTGAAGCAGATACTCAGCTAAATATGCCTGCTGAAAAGCATACATGACTTAGAAGAAAAACTGTTTTACCTGCAAGTAATTCACATACTGAGAAAATCATATTGAACCGCTACTAAGAGCCAGGCTGACATGACCACTCGGGAATTAGATGGGAGGGGAGCCAGGCCCTGTGGCCTGAGATTCACAGACTCGGCCTCACAGAAAGCAGCTGGCATTATTAACAAGTCAACACACTCGGTGATATGTCTGTAATGGATGCTTTACAGACAGAAATTTCCAGAATGAGCTGATTAATGGTGCTTTCAGGAAGGGCTTCCAAGAGGCACCGAGTCACAAGCTATTTCTTCAAGCCTGTATAAGAAAGATTCCCCAAATAGACAGCAAAAGAATTTTACATTACATGATTGAGTAACAACACCTTCATTTCACCAAAATGTGACTCGTATGACAGACAACCCATGAAGAGTATTTAATAAGCTCCCTGCCTCTATTAGATAATGACAGAAATGAAAATGTGTGCTGGACACTTATTTCACAAATTTCCTTTTTATTGAAAATAGATATTTTTTCATATAATTCCAGTTTCCTCTCCCCCAAATAATCCCAGATTTTCCCTACTTCCTCACCCACCCAAATCCACATCCTTTCTTCTTCTCTCTCACTAGTAAACAAAAACAATAACTAATAGGCAAAAACTAAGGCATTTTTTTATGCCCTAAAGCCTATGTTAGCTTGTGCCAAGCCCCATATTTGCAGAGACAGGAAATTTTATCTACTCATGTCTACCTCACACTCCCAATTAATTCCATAACTTTTTTCTCCATTTTAGACACTGACTTTTCACAATCAGGATTTAGGCTCTTCCCCATCTCTTCCCAGGAATGCCCTTCCTGATCTATAACATGGGACTAATGTTAGCCACGTGAGTACATGTTTTAGAGAAATCCTCTATAAATCTTGGAATGCCAGATGCAGGGGTGTCTTCTACCAGGTTAATAGATTTTTATCACCTCAGTCTTCTCTGCGTCAAGGCCATTCCTAGAATCCTCTAGTCCAAAGAAAAGAATGTCAACTTTTCAATGCAAGGAAAATACATGGTGAGATTTTTTTGTTTGTTTGTTTTTTAAGGCACAAGCACAAGTCTCCCCCTATCCCTGAGGAGCTACCTGCAGCTGAGCCACACCTCTGCTGAGCCTTTTCCTCTCTGCACTGGGGAAACTCTACAAACTCTCCCTCACCAAACGGCAGCAGCGAAAGCTCTCAGTAATCACTTGTACCTGAGCAGCTGAATACTTTATGTGTATATATGTGGATGTGTGGATGTTTTCAGTTAGGGATTACACATGTATGTTGGGGTATACATGCATGCCGTGTAGGCACATGTGTCTGGAGGCCAGAGGACAACCCCAAATATCACCCCTAAGGTACGATCCACTTGTTTTTGAAACAAGGACTTTCCCCAGCCTGGAATCATCAAATAAGCTAGGCTGCTTGTCTCCATCTGCCCAGCACTGGGTTCCCAGCCTCAGTGCCGACATGCCCAGTTTTTTTCCACATGGGTTCTGGGAATCAAATTCAGCTCTTTGTGCTCCAAGTGAGCCATCCCCACTGAATGTTTTTGGAAGAACACATCATAATCACAAAGGCTTCTGGGACCACCTAATAAGTTGTTCATACTCTTTGGATCCAAGAAGCCTATTGTCTGCAGAAACAAAATCCTCTCAAGGCTGTAATTTTGGCCAAAAGCCCAAGATGATAATAGATTAGGCTTAAAATCTGGCAAAACAGTAGCAACAGTAGACTACGGTAACAAACAGTGAGGTAAACTGTTGAAATCCCCAGGTGAAACCGAGGGAGCCTCACCCTCTTCAAGTAACCCAACTGTAAGTCATTCTGTGTAATTAGATGGTAGAAGATCTAAACAGAGACAAGTATGACAAATAGGCCAGAGGCAACAGGCCCAGGGAACTCTTCTTTGTTTGGATTTCTCTTAGTCATGTCAGGAAAGAAAGATGAGAGAAGTGACCTGAAACCCCACAACCGTGGGCCTTCCCCCATGTCACACAGAGCTAGGGATCGGTGAGCTACTGGCACCAGAAATCTCAGGATGCATCCGTCTTTCATGGTTTCACAGGGGAAACGTTGAAAGCAGACTAAGCTCATGATAACTTCTGTCTCCTGCCTCCCTGCCAGAGATTTTCTTTCGCCTCTAAGAGTGTGAGGAAAATAGGGTCAGTACTGAACTCAAGGGCAGCATCTACCAAAAGACCTGACCCTTCCCACTTCCGACCCGACCCCCAACAGAGAGATCCTTTAGTGGGGAGCCTTTTATTTCTTTGTTTGGCTTGGTTTCTTTGTTTTGAGACAGGCTTTCATATATTTCAAACAAACCTTAAACTCCCCAAAGAACCAGGCAAAACTTTGGATGTCAGATCCTCCTGCCTCTACCTCTGGAGTGCTAGGATTACAGCTGTGCACTGCCTCATCCCGTTTATGAAGGGCAGGGGATTAAACCCAGGGTTTTATATGTGTAAAACAAGTGATCTACCTAATAAGCTGCATCCACAGACCACAAGAGGATTCTCCCACAGGAGCAGACACCTCCCAAGCCTGCTTTCCTTTTCATCTTCTTGAAGGAGAGCAGGCACTAAGTTCTGCCAAAACCGAACCTTCCCAAGTCTCATAACATAATTCCTTCGAAAAACACATAATCTCTCCCAAGACCCCCACACTTCTCTCAAGAAGAGAATTTTAAAGCATAAAGGGAGAAATGACAGCCCTTTCTGTAGTGAGAGCCACCTGCCTTCTGCGCTTGCCTCTTCAACTGCGGCCATGTTACCTGATAAAGCTTTGTGTGTGTGTGTGAATTAAAATAACTCCTTTAGGTGCAGAATTAGGGTTAGAGTCGTGTTGTCCGCTAGCACCTGTATGTACTTCAAGGTGACCGATGCCATGGAAAGAGCTTGTGTGAAAAGTGAGTGGCAATGTCCTTTGCTTCGGTCCTTGTTCCATGCAGCCTTACTTGACAGCACTGGCTCAGCAGTTTCCAGATATTTCTGCAATTAAATTGGGATGGCAAGAAAGTTATTGGTGACCATTGTTCTCCACCTCAAATTATAGTTGTTATTAAATGCTGACATATTTATTGTGTGATTTTCTATTTTAAATATATTAAATAAGCTATTTAATTTACTTACGTGTTATATCTATGCAGAGGCTTGTGGAAGGCAGAGAACAACTTGTAGGATTCTCTGCTTCCACCACGCAGGTCTCAAGTATTGAACTCAGATAGTCAGTGCCTTTATCCATAAAACAAAAAACAAAGCACTACAGGCAAAAACAAAGTCAAGCTGCAGTCAATTTTTGAGTGTTACATCTTTGAAACACTATCTAAATTAAAAAAAAAAAAATGTTTATCTGTCCTGAAGAAGCAGTAAGGGAAAATGACAATTTTTTTTTTTTTTTTTTAGAAAATCGTACCCAGTCTTGTCAGGTATGAGTGGTTTTCAAATACCAAGAATCTGAAGCTTGAGTGTGAAATATTCACATTCAAGCTTCATTTGTATGACAGAAAGACAGATTACTGTAGCTATGCTCACATTATGCCATAAAATTGTTTGTTAAATTAGATGCATGAAAGTTGGAAATGAATTCTGTCATTGAAATCGGATCTTAAAGTGGCAGCTCGCTTCAACTGGTCTTCAGAAGTTAGTTTATCTTATAATGTTGCTGAACTGTTAAAATTCTAAAAAGCATCGTCTATGCCGCTCCGTCTGTCACTGCGGTACAGTCCAGCGGCCGCTACAGCGTTATTTGGTCTCAGGACAGTGGTGGGCATAGATGTGCTGGAGAGACGGCTCAGCCCTAAAGAGCCCCCACCACTCTTCCAAAGCTCAGTTCCCTGCACCCACACCAAGCAGCTCACAAATTCAGCTGCAGAGGATCCAATGTCCTCCTTATGCCTCTTCAGGTACCCATTTACAGATGGTATATATTCACAAATACACACACATAAGTTGAAAATAAAAAGGATAAGCGAGTGGAACATAGGAAGCTTCATTACCAGTAGATCAGAATCCTTTCCTTCTCAGAGTCATATATACGGAACTTATCTCCTTCCCTTGGGTCTTATATTTCTATTTAACTCACAGTGACGACTTAGCTAAGTACTAAAATTTTTATTAACTGTATCCCCTCTAATCTCAAAGACATGGATCTCTTGGTTGTTTTGTTCTTTGTTTATTTATTTTGTTGCATTTTTCATTGCTTAATCACTGGCCTGTTAGAAAGCCAAGATTACTTGTTTTTAAACCATTGCTAGGGAAAATATTTCTGGTGTGGTTGTTTAATAAAGTGAAATAGGGTGGCATCGAAGTTAGGATACCTGCAGGAAAACCCTTGAGACTATTACCTCATGCTCATTCTTCCTGTTGAAAATTTTATTAGTTTGTTTGTCATTAGACGGGGTCTCATGTAACCCAAGCTGGGTTCAAATTCTCTGTATCACTACGGATGACCCTGAACTTCTGATCCTCCCACCTATCTATACCTCTCAGGTGCTAGAAATAGAGGTGTGCCCTCTCGAGCCTGCTTTATACAGTGTGAGGAGACAGCCCACCGCTTGCTGAAAACTAAGACAAGCACTCTACCAACTGAGCTGCATCCTTAGCTGTTTTCATTTCTAAAGCTGCAAACTCAGGTTTCTTCAGCAGAAACACACACACACACACACACACACACTAACTGTCTGATATCCTTAACTATTTAGCTAAGAAACTCCTGCTTAACTCTTGATCAAAGGAGTTTACACAGAGAAGGGACATGTCTGAGATTTGTGGGCACTGTCATGGCAGTGCAGGGAGCCTTCCTGACTAAGACAAGGATAGATGCGGAAAGTACTAATGTCCAGCAAAACACTGAGATTGAGGTCACTACCTCAGAGGGATGGAGAAAAGAAAGCAGATAAAAGAAGGACCACAGAGGTAAAATCTGAAACTCTATAACCTGTGGATTGATGGGATGGACCAGAATAAGAAAGTCAAATACGATGAGACACACCTGTAACCCCAGCTCTTGGAAAGTAAAGACAGGAAGATCGGAAGTTCAAAGTCATCTTTGATTACATAGTAGGGCTGTTTGAAACCCTGTCTTGAAAAAATGAAAAAGAAAAAAAAGATGGAGAAAAATTACAATTTCTTACCTAATGTTACCCACCGTGGCCATCATGAATTAGGTGAGCATCAGGAAAAAAAGGTAAGATGGCTGTCTTTGCGTTCTACCTGTTGAGTGCTGTGTAATAAATAGCTCACTAACTCAAGGTTTTAAAATGGCTATCATAGTCACCCTAATCATGGGTGATTTCTACATCTGTTCCCTTTGCTGTCAACAAAGCCCTGAGACTGGAAGGATAAGGCTCCCTTTGGACATGGCCAACTCACATGACGGTATATTGGTACTAGATACCAAGCTCTGGTGGGCTGTTAGCTGGAACTTCCCATGTGGTTGGCTGCCTTTTTCCCAGCAGGAGGTCTGGGGGCCAGAAGTACAACAGAAGGATGAACCACAACCTGCAACTTGAACATGGCACCATAGAACTTCCAGGGGATTCCACTGGTCAAGTGTTCGTAAAGCTCAGACTTGAGAACAGGAGCACAGTCGACGCCTCTCAGTGGAATAAATGTCAAAAAAAAAAAAAAAATTGGCTATGTTTTCTTTGTCTGTTGTTACTTGGTTTGATTTAGTTTTAGATAGAATCGTGCTATTAATAGGGTCCAGGCTGGTGTAGAGCTTTCTAAGTGGCCCTGGCTAACCTGGAAATTTCCACCTTCCTCTGTTCTGCTTTTAAAACTATGGGAATATACATATGCAAAGCTTTTAAAGCTTTAAGCTTCCATATTACAAGACATAGAAAGTCTCACTGTGAGCCAGGTAAACTCAGTTTGTAAAGTTAATATACCAATCTTAACTCTAGAAAAAAAAAAAAACGTTCTTCTAAAAGATACACCAACAGAGGCACATTTACTGTAATTTTAGTGGACTTTACATGCTAGGCTTTTTACTTTAAAGGAAAGGCTCTATGTAGAATATTAATACATTTTGGATCCCATAAATCCCAATTTATCTCTGAGTAAAGTTTAAATCTCTGTCTGAGAGAAACTAACAGACAGAAAGAGAATGTGTGTTTGTAGACATACATGTACATATGTGGCTTTGTGTGCTCTTGTTGGGGGAGCCCAGAGGAGGATGCGAGGTATGCTTCTCTGTCATATCTTGTGTTATACTCTTGAAACAGGGTCTCTCAATAGACCTAGAGCAAGGCTTACAGGCAACAAGCTCTAGTGATCTGTCTCTGGCCCCCAGTGTCCCTGGGACTACTGGCACTCAAGGTCATACCTGGCTTTTTATAGAGGTTCTAGGGATTCAAATCCAAGTGCTTATGTTTGTGCAGCAAGCTCTCTTACACACTGAGCCATCTCTCCATTCTCAAAGTGTAAATCCTAAGAATGGATGACATTATCTGAGGAAGCCACATAGGAAAAAGAAAAAGAAAAAAGAGCAAAGAACTAAAGTAAAAGCTTTACTTTACTCACACCAGTGGAGAGAAAGAGAAAGGAGAGCAGGGCTGAGGGTTATAGAGAGAATATGGTATGCAAGCACAGCAAGGAGTCTCAGGGTGGATATAAAGCATGAAGGTCCAGAAAGTAAAGAAAAAAATGCAATCCTTTTGAGCTAGCACCATAGGGAGCCATTAGTAACTTGTCAAAGCAACTTCAAAGAAAGAAAAAGTCAGCTCTCAGTGTGCTCAGAGGAAGAAGAAGGTTGTCTGGAAGAAATGGAGATTCTAGCTGCTGTGTCACATGCCTATAATCCTAGCACTTGGGAGGTGTAGTCACCAAGATCCAGAGTTCAAGGACACCTTGCCTACGTCAAAAGTTTGAGGCCAGCCTGAACTATACAAAACCTGTCTGAGAAAAAGACAGAGCTGGAGATAAGGTGGGGAGGGGGGAAGCTGGAAAAGATAAAAAAAAAAAAAAAAAAAAAAAAAAAAATGAATACAGAAGTAATAGGTTAGGATCTAGAAAAATATGACTCTCTAAAATTGCTTTCAACGAATACACAAGCCCTGAATAATGCTATAACTATTAAAGAAATTGAATCACTATTTTGAAACATTCAACATTTCCACAATGAAAACATCAGATTCAAATGGCTTTATTAAAAAAAAAAAAAAACAACTTTCTGGTGTTCCAGCCCTCCTGACTTCTCTATGGAGACTCTACAATAATAACTTGGACAGATATGCTGTACCCTTTAACACAGATTGCTATACCCAGCAAAACTTTCAGTCACCATAGATGGAGGAAATAAGATATTTCATGATGAACTCAAATTTAAACAATATCTATCCACAAGTCCATCACTACAGAAAGGTGCCAGAAGGATAATGCAAGAACATACACCCATGAGAACATAAGAAATAAATAATCTCACACCAGCAAATCCAAAAGAAGGAATGTGTGCACATGCACACACACTAACAAAAACAACAAACAAACAACAACAACAAAATAACAGGAATTAACAGTTATTGGTCACTGATATTTCTCAATACAACTGGTCTCAATTCCCCAATTAAAAAACAAAACAAAACAAAATAAAACACAGACTAACAGAACGGATTTGAAAACAGGATCCAGCTTTCTGCTGCAAATAAGAAACATACCTTAAAACCAAGGATAAACATTACCTCAGAGTAAAGGACTGGAAAAAGATATCCCAAGCAAATGGACCTAAGTAGCAAGCTGGTATAGCCATTCTAATAGCTAACAAAATAGACTCAAAACCAAAATTAACCAAAAGACAAGGGGAAAGACACCTCATACTCATCAAAGAAAAAAAAAATGCCTCAAGATGACATTTCAGTTCTTAACATCTATGCCCTAAACACAAGGGCACCTGAGTTTGTAAAAAATACTACAGATTAAATCATATATTGACCCTCACACGTTGATAGTGAGAGATTTCAATTCCCCATTCCCACCGACAGGTAGGTCATCCAAACAACAAATAATCAGATAAATATTGGTGCTAACAGATATTTGTCATAATCCTAACAGTGGCAGTATGTCTCTGACTCTTTTGCCTGTGCTTGGGGCTCTTTTCCCTGTTGGGTTGCCTTGGCCAGCCTCAATAAAAGGGCTTTTACCTTGTCTTATTGTATCTTGTTTTGTCCTGTTTGGTCCTTGGCTCTTGGAGGCCTGCTTTTTTTCTGAAGGAAAATGGAGAGGAGTAGATCTGGGACAGAAGGGAGAGGTGGAGAGAACTGGTCGCTGTGCCCTTATTGCACATCTTGACTGTCAGTTTGTTGTTCCTCACAGGATTCCCAATTGGGGACACCCATTACTGATTTACACTGGTATCCTTTTAAATCAAAATCTGTGAAGGTAAAGGTCCTGGGCATGGTAAGTTGCAGTATCTTTTCCCAAAGTTTCTTATCTTCAGCTGAAGGTTGAGAGCCATTGCTCTCTACCTTTTCCCTAGAGGCTGCCATCAGTGCCCTCGGATTCATTTACCTGACATACCAATGACTTTAGAATCTATATGCCTTGCCTCAAGTTACTGGCTAATCGAAAATGCTTTCTACTTACCTGTTGAGGCTTTTCTTCTCTTGGCAGTCCTGCACTTAACCAAAGGCCCAAGGCACCTCCTCAAGGCCTTGTTGTTGTCCTAAAGAAAGAGAATCCCAAATATCAAATTTACCAATGAAGACTCAAAAGCCAGATGCTGGGGTGCAAACCTGACAGTCCCGGAGGAAAAAGCCAAAAGCTCCTTCTTCTCTTCCATGCTGTCTCAAATACACTTCTACTTAATCCCCGTCGTCTGGTAATTTGCTCCACCTCTTGACCTAGGCTTAACTTTATTAAATCTGTGTACAGAAAGCTCTTGAATTAAAGGTGTGTGCTGAGCCACACCATAATTACATGTTTACAATAAGCAGAAAGTTATTGGAGTAAAGGTGTGTGTTAGGGATGCAACACACTGAACAAGAAACAGGTTTTTACAGTTCACAATCTCAGGGTTAACTACAGTTTCAAGTACCATGCAACACCTCATACCTGCTCTCCAATTTCTTGTCCCCCAGCTGCAGGCTTGAAAAGAGTTGGGGCTCAGACTGAGTTGCATATGAAAGGTGAAGCAGTTTCTCAAATCTAGCTTAGATAGTAACATAATTGTTTTAACATGTGTGACAGTATCCTGCAGGAAAGATCAAGAGTCGTACTTAAATAAACGAAGCAGAGGGACAGCAGCCAGAGGTCAGCACCATGGTAATATCATTGATTTTTAAAATGTTTGCGGGTAGTTCCAGTGTCGGCAGTGGCAGGAAAATCCTTGGAACTCAGGATATGGTCAGCCAGCATATCCTACTTGGGGAGCTCCATGTCTGTGAGAGATCCTATCTCAAAAACCGGGGAGACAGGGAGAGCTTGGGTAGCCTTGCCTGCACGCGGAATCATAAGGACCTGCGTTTAGATCTGCGGCACCCATGGCAATAACTGAGCTCCACAGCATGTGCCTGTAATCCCAGGCCTGGGGAGGTAGAGACAGGGGCTGGCGAAACAGTTACCTAGTCAGGCTGTGAGCTCCAGGTCGAGCGAGAAACACTACATCAAAGATAATGTGGCCAGTGACTGAGGAAGGTACCTTCATCAGCCCCAGCCTCCACATGTGCACATACGCACTGCCACACAGATTTACACTCACACATAGACACAAATAGGTAGTTGCTGCCTGGGGAATGACACCCCTCATTGTCCCTTGGCCTCCACGCACAGGAACACACACATACACACCTGCATATACGTGAATACCCACACACAAAAAAAAAAAAAAGGGAAGAAGGATTTATGGGTGGAATGGCACAAGAGGCAGAACAGGGGTTGGGTTTGCCTGTGGTGCAGTAAAGCGTAGGGCCCATCGGCAGAGGCTTGCTCCGTATCCCTGACAAGCATAGAGTTGCCCCAGTGTAAATATGCTCTTAGCAACATTGCTCCAAAGCAATTTTCCCTCCTAGCCCATTTGTACCAAAGGGGTCTAAAGGGACTCCCCACCCCAAGAGTAAGGAAAGAAATCTTCCCACACTCTGAAACCCACATGGTAAGAAGGGACTTTCCTGCTCTGTGACAGATGGGAATCCCCTGCCACAGAGACATCTAGAAAATCAAGCATGCCACTCCATACAGAGAAAAGTGATCTTGCCTCCCACCACTTCTGGCCTCTCATAGGGGTGACTCCATCTTTTATGGGGAGAGGTCCAGGAATTGGGTGTGTATGTGTTAGGCAGAGGGGTCCTGTTCCTCAGGAGCCATCTACCTTGTGCATTTGAAATTTATACATGTTGCATGTTTGGGGGGGCGGGGGGGGAGGCACGTGTGTGTCCTAGCGCCTGTGGAAGATCAGAAGACAAAGGCAGAATAGGCACTCTCTTCCCAGCTTTAGGCAGGTTCCAAGGTTCAAGGTCAGGTGGTCAGTGGCTGCAAGTGTTTGTAACACCCCTCAGCCCCGCCACTGCCCCATCTGGGTTTTTTGACACAGTGTATTTCATTGGCAGGGGGCTTGACAATTCAGTTAGGCTGGCTCGACTTCCGGCTGCAGGGATCCTCCTGTCCTGTGTTTCCTCAGTGTTGGAATAACACATATCCCTCAGCACATGGGCCTTTTTTTTTTTTTCCCACGTGAGGTTTTGTAGGTGGATGCTGGGAGATGTGAAGACTCGGGTCCTCACACTTTGGGCCACACCACTTTAATAATGACTGAATCGTCTCTCCCCAACCCACAACTCACCTTTGATCTCGTGTCAGAACAACACAGAATAGCACTGTGAACTTTTCCTTTCTATGGCTACCAAGATCAAAGAACCGGGGACCCACCTTCTTCAGTAATCTGTTTTCACCGAACCTGGGTCATCACGGGAATGCAGTGGAGAACCTGAGCTCTCTGCCCTGGCCTTCTCCGGTTTCTGGGACCTGCCTTTTATCAGGCAAAAGGTGAAGGTGCGTAGGAGGTCCAACTCCTTTGGGAGTCTGCCAGGGAAAGCCGCCTACTCAAACATCAACAGAGGCCAAAGTGCACACCGAGGATCAGCGGAAAGGTGCTGCTTGTCCCGGCATGGAGTTGCTGGCTCTGCAGCCACTGAGATCGGATGGCTCCTGACTCATCGCTAAGCCCATTTATTTCGCCGCTTATATTCATTAGGTTAAAATGATGTAATTAGCCAGGGAAGTGTGGGCTTGTTTGGGGTGCAGCATCACCCCTTCATGTTTTGCTTGTGTCCTTGCGTTTAAAGCTCAGGTTAAAGAAGGGATATTTTATTCCCACTGCACCCTTCTAGAGTCAATTAAATCCTGTTTTCTCTTGCTGCCCGCCTCATGATCTCACTGCTTTGGGGCGGCATAATGGGAAAGAACCCACTTCAGGAAATCTCTGTGCTGTGGAAAGAAAGCTTCGGGAAGTGTAACAGTTCCTGCAGCTGAGGACTTCGCTTTCAGTTATTAGAATAAAAATAGTTTTGGTGATGAGTGCACAAATTCATTGTATACCCAAGGCTGGATCTGCCTTTTAACAGTCTGTGCCCTTGGGAAAAACAGCCCTGCAGACATGTAGTCTGGCTCTTTTCTCATCCATGCCCTTCTAGAAGAGGCAAGGGTGGGAACAGAAAACACTGGAGGCCAGTGGAGTCCTGGCAAGCTCCAGCAAAACCCTGGTTCTTTCCTCAGAGCTGCAAAACAAAATAATAAAAACAGCCATAATAAAAAGAAATGCGAAAGGTGTTCATCCCAGTGTCCTGCCAACAATGGGTCCTTAGGGACAATTGGCCAGGAACAAAATTCAGTTGCACTCTTGCAAGCCTAGCTTTTTTTGAAGCCCTAGGTTTAATCCCAGCTCACATAAACCATGTGTGGTGACTCCTCCCTATAATCCTAGCACTGGAAAGACGAAGGCAGCAAGATTGGATCAGAAGTTCAAAGTCATCCTCAGCCATATATCAGGTTCCAGGCTAGCCTAAGTTGCCTGAAACCTAAGACCCTCTCTCAAAAAAAAAAAAAAGTTATTGATTTGAGCTTTTATGATTTATAACCCAAGTTTTTACAGATGTCCTCAACCTTACTATCTAATATTCTTAGCCAAAGTAAGTCGCCTTGCGCTCAGAACCCCCCTCTGTATCTTCTGAGACAACTTTCCCTTTGTTCAGTCCTCCCACAGCCTTCTCAGGTCCAAGGCTAGTGTCATCTTCCTGATTAAGATCTCAGATGTCATCATTTAACAGCTTCTAAAATCCTATCCTCCTAAGAGATGCTTGCAGCCTGTCTTCCTTACCTGGGTATCACAAGCAGTTGCCGTGTCCTCAAGAGCAAACATCTCCAGCAGCGGATTAAAAAGGGCTTCTTTTCACATATTTGCTTCTTGTTGGTCGATTGTCCTGTCCTATTACTCTACAGAGAGATGCCATAATTAAGACGGAGAAATCTGCCAGAGTACTGGAGACCATCTATCTCCTCAGCCAGACTGGCACCAGCAGTACTAGCTGTGGCATTTAAGAAAATATGGGGGCTGGAGAGGTGGCTGGGCTGGAGAGATGGCTCAGCCGTTAAAGGCTAGGCTCACAACCATAAAGATAAGAAAATATGGGGAGAAAATAAGAAACCAAAAGCTTGCTGTTTAAGTGGCTTCCAGGAAGGACAATGCAATGCGCCTGCCTGTCTTTATTGGAGGTGTTGGCTACCTATGCCACAGAGAAACACCAATGACCAATTTTCCCTCTCATCGCATCAAAGACATCAGAAACTGTCTCTGTTCATGGCAAGGTTCCAGGGCGTTGTTGTCATTATTGTGGAGCATTTATTAATCTTGATTCTTTGCTAGGTGAGTCAGCACTTCCTGTTGTGATGATTTTACATCCGGCTGCACATGCAACAGCAGCTATGGGATCACTTCCTACGCATGTCCCTCAGATGCTCAGCATAGGGCCTACCTAGGGAAGCCCATCCATCTATCCATATGGCCTCTGGTGCCCTGTGCTGGGCACTGAAGTAGCTCTTCCAAGAAAGACAGACATCAACTCCATACTATGAACATTACCCTGTAGGACATCAGCCCCTTCCTGATCTGTGGCCAAGCTTTGAAATCAGCCCAGCTGTGTCCATGCTGACAGCCACCAAAGGCCTAGTTGGAGCTGTTTGCTGACAATGATGGTCAGTGCTCTGTTCTCTTGTGTAGCACTGCAGAATCAGGAGTTTGTACAGAGTGCATGCTTCTGGATTTTATTCCACACTCTTTGGCTAACTTACCTTGGGCCCTAAGCTACCCTATGTGGTGACCGCAGTGACAGCCACAGCTAAGAGACACACTGTTAATTCAGCTGGATATTTTGATGTGTCCAACAATTGAGTAGGGAGTCTCTAGATAAGAAATGCATGGCATGAGGAGGGGAACGCAGTATTGCTCAGGGGTTAAAGGGGCTTGCTGCTAAATCTGATGACCTGAGTTTGAGTCTCCAGACCCATGCAATAGAAGGAGAGAACCAGCTCCTACAAGATGGAGTCTAACCACCACCCGTATGCCCTGGCATACACCACACTTTACAATAAATAAATTGTTGCTGTTGTCTTATTTTGTTTGTTTTGGGTTTGGGTTTTTTGGTTGGTTTTGTTTTGGTTTGGGTTTTTTTTTGTTTTGTTTTTTTGTTTTTTGGTTTTGGTTTTTTTTTTTTTGTTTGGTCAGTTGGTTTTTTGTTTTTAAGACAGGGTTTCTCTGTTTAGCCTTGGCTGTTCTGGACATAATGTGTAGACCTGGCTGGCCTCAAACTCACAGACATCTTCCTGCCTCTGCCTCCATGTTTTCTGAGACAGGCTTTCTCTGTATAACAAGACCTGGCTGTCCTGTACTTGCCTTGTAGACCAGGCTGGCCTCCAACTCAGTGATCCACCTGCCTCTGCCTCTGCCTCTGAAGTTCTGGGATTAAAGGCATGTAACATCACACCAGGCTTTTTGTTTTATTTTTAAAGTAAGGCCTGGATATGATGACATATGATCTTTAAAAAAAAAAAAAAAAAAAAAAAAAAAAAAACTAGAACAGTGTATGTTTCTTTCCACTTCAAATGTTGATATTAGATTTATATGCAAATACTCCGGATTTAAGATCTTAATATTCCTATATTTTGAGGCTTGGAGAGAAAAAAGGAGAAGGAGGAAGAGAAGGGAAAGGAAAGGAAGAAAAATTGGCATATCTCAGAAGTCAAATCAATAACGCAGTCAAGCTCTGTTGCTGCATGAGCTCTTTCCTTAGGTTGGCCCATCACCATACTGAAGAGAACCAGATAAGTAAGGCATCTGGTGAGCAAAACTGAGACAAATAATCACTGAGTGTGATGTGCAGGTATAGTGGAGTCTAGTTGCCCAGCAACTATGGCAGGTGTTCTTTGGATGCTACATACCTACTGAAGACTCTCCTATGCAATGGCATTTAGAAGGTGGTAACTCGGGAAGGTAATGAAGTCATGTAGGTGAATCTCCTGGGTGGGATGAATGGCATGTGTGCCTTCCTGAGGAGAGACAGTCTCACACCATTAGGACATCAGAGGAAAAGACTCTTTGGGGGGGGCGGGGAGTGCCTTCTGAGAAGCAGACCATGCTGATCCTCTGGCCTCTTCTTGCCACACTCCAGAGCTATGAAAACTAGACTTTTCTTGAAGGCAGTTGTGGGGTGTAGCTAACATCCAATCAGGAAACAGTTAGTTTCCCACATACTAGTCATGCCACCATCACACCATTGTGCACATCTTGCCTGGCAGTTCGCTATGGTGGTTCTAGATTACAAAGCTATGCATGTAAGACAGCTAATGACTTTTCTACTACCCTCATAGCCCTCATAGTACTTTCTAATATTTTGAATGCCTAGACATCAGAGCAGGATTTCCAGATTGGTTCTAGTTTAAAATTTTTTTCCTATATTCTACGACTAAAATCTGTAGTCTCTTCAGCAATAGGGCCTTAGCATCCAGTTCAAGAACAATGGCAATAGTCTGTATGGTTTGGGGGTCGTTTGGAGCTTTGCTGACAATGGAGTAATAGGGAGAGAGCCCATCTCTGGCACTGAGATTTTTCTTTAGTGACTGGTAGTGCCTGGAAACAGTTCTATTCACCTATGGTATATCTACTAAAACTTTTTAAAATTAGCTACAAAGGAGTGGGCTTCCTCTGGCTTTTCCACACAAACATGCTTAGTTTTGGTTTACTTTCTTCCCTACTTTCATCGCCCCCATGTCCTGCCCACCATGACCACTTAAAACTTTTTTCCCTCCCAGTCTGATTTTTATTAAATGTTTGTGAAACTCTTTTTAACTGAGGAGGTCAGAGGCTCTAAGTTGGTGTTTGGGGTTTGGTTTTTGTTTGTTTGTTTTTGACAAATAGGTATGTTTCGCCTTTCAAATTGCCTTCTAAATATTTATGTTTATTTCCCTAGATTAATGCTGCTGTCAGACCTTGTCAGAGAAGCCTCCTTTTCAAATGGGTAGTGGTTACTGCAGAGGCGTATAGTCAGAGCGCTGAGAACAAGTGATTGCTGAGTAACCAGCCATAAATGGGCCATCTGTACAATACCCCAGCCAAGGCTCCAGAAACATCACAGAAGAGGAAGCAGGGAGAATGGAAGAGCTTCAAAAAGGAGAGGAGTATTGTGAACGCTGCCTTCTGGCATGACATAGGGAACGAGTGGGGAGAAAGAGTCCTGCTCACAAAAAACCAGGCAGGGAAATATCTATGTTATATAATCTGTAGTTGATTTAAAAAGCATGTTTACACCCACCTTCTTCTATCTCACTGTAAGTGTAGGAGAAATTTTACCAGGTAATGTATACAGAGAAAAAGTAGATTAATTAACCAGCAATTAGTTAGTATCGACTTCTTACTGTGTCCTACATTCTGAAAA